TACAACTTGAGCCATTGTTTAAATATTGCTTTAAGAAAAAACAAGTGTGGTCTTGATATGTATATCTGGCTGGCGTTGTATTCACTATGTAGCCAAGGCTGCCCTGATACTTGATGTGCTCTGCCTATGAAAAGCTGGGGATTGATCATACACATGTTCTGTCATGCCTGGCCCTTAAATGTTTCTTGACCCAAGATATTCTGTAAATTCGTGGTAAGGACAGTAATCGTAATGCCAGCTCCAAGGTGGCAGAAAATTTTAAGTGCTCATTGTGATAACAGCATGATGATTGGCTTCTTCAATACTTAGTTTTCAGTCTGTAGACTATAGATTATAGGTTGTATGTAATTTTGCTTAGGTTATAGATTAGAAAGATTAGTATGTTGTATGGAAGTGTACTTACATCACTGACTTTATTTTCCTAAGCTGTGCTTGGGATGGAACCCAAGGCCATGCCCATGTTAAGGAGAACTCTCTAGCCTTGAGCCATGTCGAGCCTGGAAATGTACAGAACATAGTGACACATGGATATATTTAGTTATAATAAAAGTTTCCAGGAATATACCATTTCCTGGTTTGTTTTTGTTTATTTTATGTGTATGGGTGTTTTGCCTGCATGCATGTCTGCCTACTATGTGTGTGCCTGATGTCTAAATGGTCTAGAAGAGGGCATCGGATCCACAGGAACTAGAGTTACAGGTAGTTGTGAACTGCTGTGTGGGTCCTGAGAATCAAACCCAGATCCTCGGCCGGAGCAACTCGGTTATCTCTCCAGTCCCCTAATTAAATTTTTGCTGTTGCAAATTGTAAATGGTAGTTTTCGATTGCTGTGATAAAGCATGACTTTGAAGGCATTATTTATTTGGTCTTGGTTTCAGAGAGTTGAGAGTCTTATCATCATAGTTGGGAAATGTAGCAGTAGGTAGGCATGATGATTGGGGCATGAGAATGAGAGCCCACAGCTTAAATCTCAAGCAGGAAGAAGACAGAAGAAACTAGAAATGATATTAATATTAGTCTTTTAAACTCTTAAAGCCCTGGCTGGGCAATGGTGGAGCATACCTTTAATCTCAACACACAGGGGTAGGAACAAGTGAATCTTCTGAGTTGAAGGCCACCATTCTATAGAGTAAGTCCCAGGAAGCCAGGACTTGTTATACAAGGGGAGGGGAGGGGAGGGGAGGGGAGGGTTTGTTAGGGATAGGGAAAGAAATGTTTGAACCTTTTAATTTTTGTTAGGCATATTTCTTCTCTTTAAGCAATTCTACTACTTGAAGCAAGGTTTTTCTAACACTTTATCAGCATGATCATTTTATACTAAATTGCAGTTGGTAGATTTTACAATTAGAAAAATAAGAATCTCTTTGCAGAAGGTAAGGTTTCAACTTAGAGGCTTACTTGGGGAATGAGAACATCTTACCTACTATTTAACAAGAAGGTAATGTAGGACTTGTCTCTCTAGAAGTATAGTACAACATTGGTTCATTTTCAGAACCACAGTTGCTGATATATTTGAATGTTGGGAATCTGTTGTTTAGATAGGGTTTTATGTAGCCCAGACTAGCCTTGAACTCTATAGTCAAAGATGACCCTGAATCCTGATCCTCTGCCTCTACCTCCCAAGATCTGGAATTACAGGCATGTGCCACCAAACTTGGTTTTATTTGGTGCTGAGGACAGGGCCAATATTTTATGCATGCTAGGCAAACGTTTCTAACTGAACCACGTCTCCAGCCCCTATGTGGTTTTCTTACATTTTCTCTCTCATTTAATCCTAGTACAACCCAGTTTCTTTTTTCTTTTCTTTTCTTTCTTTCTTTTTTTTCTTTTCTTTTTTCTTTTTTTTTTTTTTTTCTTTTTTTTTTTGGTTTTTCGAGACGGTTTTTCTGTGTAGCCCTGGCTGTCCTGGAACTCACTCTGTAGACCAGGCTGGCCTCGAACTCAGAAATCTGCCTGCCTCTGTCTCCCAAGTGCTGGGATTAAAGGCGTGCGCCACCACTGCCTGGCACAACCCAGTTTCATAATCTCTTTTTATCATCATTATTAAGTAGCTTACAAACAGTAAGAGAATGAACACAGGATTTTAGGATTCAATCCCTGAAGGAAACTTTATTTCAAAGACAAAACAAAAAATTCTTAAAGTCCTTAGGCACGTTCAGAAACAAAGCCATAGTTGTTTTGTTTTAACTTTAGTTGATATAAATGAAGCTGACACTTGCTTACAAGGACCCTGATATAGTACAGGTGGGAGGGACAAGAGTGTGTGTGTTTGTTGGAAATGTAATTTTAAATGCCAACTTTTTTTTTTTTCCTTTTTCTTTTGGTTTTAGAGACAGGGTTTCTCTGTGTAGCCCTGGCTCACCTGGAACTATCTCTGTAGACCAGGCTGACCTTGAACTCAGAGATCTCCTTGCCTCTGCTTCCAGAGTACTGGGATTGTAGGCATGTACCATCACTGCCCAGCTTAAATGCCAACTCTTGATGATATGTTATTTCCTTGTAAGGTTTCTTCTTCTGGACCTGAAATTTCACAAATCTCAAGTTTTTACAGTTTTGTTTTGTTTTAGTCAGAGTCTCTATATAGCTCTGGCTGTCCTGGAACTCCTAGACAAAGCTGGTCTTGAATTCGGAGATACCCCTGTCTTAAAGGTGTGCACCACTACACCCAATGGTTTTTGTTCTTTCCTTTTGAGAATACCTTATTTATTTTTATTACAGTCTTCTTGTTAAAATTACTTTGATAGAGTTTTTTATATACACAGAAATTATTTTACATACTGTCAGTGTCTGCTACAGGGATTGATCTCATTTGTTTCAGGTCGACTTGACCAAACTTTAATAGAACAAATGCAGTATTGGCAGAGAGACAGGAAAGAGCATCTTGAGTTTGAAGCCAGCTAGGCCTGTGAAGGGGGAGAGCCTGTCTCAAAAAACAACAAAAACTCAACAGAGTTAAAAACAAGTGTAGCCTTTTCCAGCTGTGTTAATTCAGCATCCTTTCTTGTAATATGTTAAAGTAATTATGTTTAAACCAAACATGTTTTTCATTGCTTAGCTCAAGCTTTTTATTATTTGGTGGCAAAAAAGTATCAAGTCAACATTATGTCCAAGAGTCTCAGTGTTTTTGGAATGATATAGGATGTTTCCATTAAAATCATGAAATGCAATGAAACAATTAAGTTTTATAAACAATTTACTCTTTTTGGGAAGGGATGTGTATGCATATATGTATGTACACGCAGACACACACACACAAACACACACACACACACACACGAATTCCAGTAGTTGAGGGGGAGAAAACATTTGCAGCCAAGTAACAATCTGTTGCACATAGTCCTTGTAACCTAACAGATGATAAAATTGTACTGAGTGAATGAGCATGTTCTACTTGGTTTATGTGTAGCCTTTGACAATTCCTATTAATTTTAATACCATAATTTTACATGTCTGTCTTGTAGTGGCTAGCCCTCTTCTTCAACATTGGGGCTGGGCCTGCTTATCTGAGAGTGAACACCAATACTAATTCTAGCATACTATTAAAAGTCACTTGACCTAACTAACCTTTGACAACTAATCTGCTTAATGGATTTAACAATTTCATCCATTTCATATAAATGAAATCATATCTGGATTCTTTTACTTAGCTTTAGGTTTTCACATTGTGGCACATATCATTTGTTGCTAAGTAATAATAGGTGATATATAGAGATGGATTTTTCTATACTTGCACTTCCATTGCCTTTCATGGTGATGACATCTATCATGGTATGTATAAAGTAGTTTGGTGGGTTTGAATCTATTGATCTACTGAGCATCTTTTTTTTTTTTTTAAAGATTTATTTATTTTATTTATGAGTACACTGTAGCTGTCTTCAGACACACCAGAAGAGGGCATCAAATCTCATTACAGATGGTTGTGAGCCACCATGTGGTTGCTGGGATTTGAACTCAGGACCTCTAGAAGAGCAGATCTCTCCATCCCCCTGAACATCTTTTCATGAGTTCATTTCAATTTGTATATTGTCTTTGGATAGACATTTTTAGAGCTCTATCGATAGCCTTCTAGTTAGCATTTTGTTGATTAGCCTTCTTGATCTGAAGAAGAATAGGGTTGGTCTATTAATTTAAGTGTTTAGGCCATTTTTTATAAAGGAATTTTACTTTTAATTGTATATGAGCATAGGTTTCTGCATGTGCCTCTAGAATAATGTATTGGGTCCCCTGGAGCTTGCTCTTTAAATTCTGAGCCATCTCACCCACCTCTAATTTAGGCTACTATTGAGATTGTTTTATAAATTTAATTTAAATTTATTTTCAATGAAAAAATTTGTCTTTATATTTGAATGTCTCTTTAATATGATGTATTCATTTTAAAAATATTTTTACTTTTAGTTATATGGAGGTGTGTATATCTACATATGAATTTGTGCATATGAGTGCTATTCTACAATGACAGTGGCATCAGATCAAACCCTGGAGCTAGAGTTACAGGCAATTGTGAACTGTCAAACATGGGTACTAGTTTTCCAGACCTTATTTGAATGTCTTTAAGTGTCCTCACTTTCAGGGACTATGATAGGTATTTAGTAGGTCTGAGTTGGTTTTTTATTGTGAATTTATATCTCTAGGCTTAAAGAGGTAGCAGAAATAAAATTCAACTGAGTTTTAGGCCACTATGATCTAAAAAATTTCAGGATAGACAGGGCTACACAGAAAAACCCTATCTCAAAAACAAACAAAACAAAACAGAAACAAAAAAAAAACCCTATAAACTTCACAGGTTGGAAGCCTGGTGCTTTATTACAGCTTTGTTCTATTTTGTGCATTTTGAAAATACCAGCTAATCTTGAGCTTGGAGAAAGGAAAGTAGATGCTTTGAACTAGCAACTAAGACTGGACATCACATTCTCCACATAGGGAGCACTGACTGTTTGATAGAGAAGGAAAAAATGTATGATTTTTTTCTTTATATCCCCCCCCTTCTTTTTTTTAAACAGCGTGGTACCATGCGACGTCGCTATGAAGATGATGGCATTTCAGATGATGAAATTGAAGGGAAAAGAACTTTTGACTTAGAAGAGAAGCTCCATACTAACAAATATAATGCCAATTTTGTTACTTTTATGGAAGGAAAAGGTCAGTATCATTTTGATTCAGACCCTGAACCCTTTGTAAGATGTAAGTCTTCAACTTGAGATTTTAGCATCTGTGCAAAGTTAAGATATTACCTGTTGAGGATATTTATTTTGTCTCACAATGCTCATTCTCTGCCAAATTTGAAGTAATCTTTTATTAGAATAAGAATATTACTGGGGAAAAGACCTTTTTCTTTTTTCTGATTTCTTGGCTTGGGTTTAATTAAAAAATGGCACAGGTATGGTGGCACATACTTATAATCATTGCACTTTGGAGACAGAAACAGGAGGATCAAGATGGTCTATATAAGTTATAATGTATGTATAAGTACATGTAATGGTAAGGTAAAGGCCAGCTGGGCTACATGAGACTTTGGATAGAAGAAGAGGGAGAAAGATATCAAAGCAAAAAAAATATAATGAAGTCTCTTATGATGTTGGATTCCTTAGTGTTAGCTGGCCTTTACCCTTAGGAAACTATGGAAAGATTGGATGTATAATGTTCAGAGTATTTTACCTGTTAATTTCTAGTTAGGATGTATGAAGTGATTCATTAACACAACTACTTAGAAGTCCTGATTTTCAGTGTACTTTCCATATTTACTAAGAGATGTAAAACATTGTATGCATAGAGTGACAAACACAATAAATACCTTTTTACTTAACATTCTTTTTATAATTGTTTTTCAATGATTGCTTTCTTTCTAATTTTCCCCCCATGGTTTCAGATTTTAATGTAGAGTATATCCAGCGGGGTGGCTTGAGAGACCCTCTCATTTTCAAGAATTCTGATGGACTTGGAATAAAGTAAGTGCTCTGATCCTAGCCTGAGATGGTTGCAAAATGGCTTTTATACTCAGGGATTCAAACAGTGGCAATCTTGAGAACCCAGAGCAGTAGATAATTGAAAATAACTTCTAGTTACTTTGTGAAATATGTTTCTTGTTTCACAAGTTATTCACATACCTAGAAATGAAAAATGTATATGAGCTTAAAAGAAGTTTAAGTCTCTTGAATCTATCAGTCTGATATAATTGCTGCTAACATTGGGGGATTTCTTCCTATTTAAAATATAATCATTTATATTTAAAAAGTATTTAAACCTAAACATGAAAATTGATGTTTCTGGAAAGTGTTTATACTCTCCAGATCCACACTGACTAGAAAAGTAGTGCTTCTCATTTACTGGTGTTTATTTCATAGGATGCCGGATCCAGACTTCACAGTGAATGATGTCAAAATGTGTGTGGGTAAGTAACAAACTTTTGGTCTGCCTCTTCATCTTTGAGGTTTAAGAACCTTAACATATATGTTTTATTAGAATTTTTTGATTTTTAGAATTGCTCAGAATTTTCCTCAAAGGACATTTAAAAAGAAAACAACTCTATAAGGAGGAGATAGGAAGTTACTATATATATTCAGGGGAAATTTTTCTCAAAAGCAAAAGTTTTCTTTTTAATTTAGTTCATCTAAAGCTTAGGCATGGAAGATAACTTATATTCTGTGAAAATGCAGTAAAATGGTATAAAGTCTTCTGTGTTTTCAACAAATATGAGCAAAAGGAGCTCTTCTGACTCTCCTATGGAATAAAATAGTTCTGTTTCTTACTTTGGAAATTTAGAACAGCACCACCTTTTGGCCACTTCGATCCCTATTAGACTGGTGGATAATCTTGCTCAATTTTGAGAGGTGAAAGTCACTGACAGTCTTAATTCTCTGATCCCAGTATTACTCATGCCCTAATGCTCTTGTGTTCCATTCTAAGCACCTAGATACATATATTTCTTGGTACCTAGCACAACTTGTGGACTACATGATCAATAAATCTATTGAGTGATCAAAATCCTTGCTCTTTTAAGAGGCCTAGATAATTTGTGAGTACTCAACATTGTAGAACTTCACTTAACAGGCTGGAAAGAGATGGCTTAGCAGTTAAGAGCTCTGACTGTTCTTCCAGAGGACCTGGGTTCAATTTTCAACACCCATATGTCAGCTCCCAACTGTCCATAACTCCTATTCCAGTCAAAACAGCAATGTACATAAAATAAAAATAAATACATTATTGTTTAAAAAGTTCACTTATCACTTATTATTTTTGTTGTTGTTTCTAGACAGAGGTTCAAGTATATTAAGCTAATCTCAAACTCACTTTGTAGTCAAGGATGACCTTAAATTAATTACCTACCTAGCCCCACCTTTTATTTTTTAAAGATTTATTTTATTTATTTTATGTATATGACCCTTGACACACCAGAAGGATCCAATTACACATGGTTGTGAGCCACCATGTGGTTGTTGGGAATTGAACTCAAGACCTTCAGAAGAGCAGCCAGTGCTTTTAACTCACTGAGCCATCTCTCTAGCCCCGTTCTCCACCTTTTGAATGCTTCAGTTACAGGCATTTGTCACATACTCAGCTTATGTGGGGCTGGGATCATATCCAGGTGTCTATGCTAGGTAACTATTCTTTTAGCAACTTAGTTATTTCTTCAGACTTTCATTTCTTTCTTAGTCAATCTTCAGGAAAGTAATTTCCTAGATCCATAAGGCAGTAGACAACCAGAGCTTCCTGTGTTGGTTTTTAAGATTATTTTATTTGTTTCATAAGACAAGGTTTCTCTGTGTAGCCCTGGCTGCTGTCCTGGAACTCCCTCTGTAGACCAGGCCAGCCTCAAACTCAGATCTATCTGCATCTTCCTACTGAGTGTTAGGATTAAAGTTGTGGGCCACCACCACACCTAGCAGACTTATTTTTTAGTGATATATGTATGTGCATGTGTTTATGGTTTCCATGAATACAGGCGCTCACAGAGTAAGAAGGATTAGATCCTCTGGAGTTACAGGCAGTTGTGAGCCGCCTAACATGGATACTGAAAGTAGAACTTGGGTCTCTGAAAGAGTAGCCCCTGTTCTTTACTGCCAAAACTCTCTCTAGCTCCCTTCTTAGATATTCTTATATTTTTACTGGTCGTGGTTTACCAATGACCTCCACAAGAGTCATCCATGATGACTTTTAAAGTACAGACTCATAAGAGAGGATTCTAGGAAGATGATGAGAACATTCTCCATTTACTTGATTATTGCCCTGACAGAGTCTACTAACATAACTATTGTGGAATTCTGTTGAAGGCTTGCAACTTCCAGGGAAAGATTCAGACATTAAAGTTAATTTCAGGTTTTACTATAGTAATAACCACTTTTCTACATCCTCCAGGCCTCACCAACTAAAACCCACGAAGCAGATGTGCATATTTTTTACAAAAGTGTAGCACATAGCTTTAAGGAGCCAGGATGGATCTTGTCATTTAGATATTTGACACTTGCGCTATGATTGCAGATTTCTGTTTCTAACAAAATGTATAGACAAAGAGCAGGGAGCTATTTTAATACTGTCTCTAAGCGGTTACAGTGACCTTACATTTGATCCCAGTGACTTCTGTAGGACTTAAAAGGCTGCTAAAAGGCCAGATGTGGTGTCATGGGAGAACATAATAGAGAAATCCTATCTCCAAAAACAAACACAATGGACTGGTACATGCCTGGTGGTTGTGGTGGCTGCACACACATTTAATTCTAGCACTCCAGAGGCAGAGGTATAGGCAGAGGAAGTTGGATCTCTTGAGTTTTTTGAGGATAGCCTGGTCTACAGAATGAGTTCCTGTATAACTAGAGCTACATAGAGAAACACTGTCTCAAAACACCCCCCCCATAAAAAACTCCAAATAAACAAAAAAACTAAAATAGCATAGTGGTACAATGGCATACATTCAGAGAATGCCCACACAGAGAAAACAATAAGATTAAAAAGAAGCTGGCTTAAATATATACCAAGTGTGGTTTACACTCTTAAAAAAATCCCAGCATTTTAGAGGCGAGATGAACATGAGTTCCAGGCACCTTAGGCCATGTGACTAATATTTTGTTACAGCAACATTACACAGACAAGAGATGACAAGAAGGATAGCATCAAACAGACTAATGAATATTTTGGGAATATTAGAAGAAAGAGAGGAAGGGAGAGAGTAGGAAAAAACATAATAGAGGTAAATATATGGACAGTTAATTCTCTGGAATGATGGTTCAGTGTCTAAAAGTACTTGCCAAAAAAACTGACAGCCTGACCTTAATTCCTATTCAGTGTACAGCTATCACCACTATCTACTATTAGATTTTATCACCCAAAAACAAAGGTCTGTTAAGCAATCATTTCTCATTCTTTCTTCCCTGTAGCCCCTGGCAACCACTGATCTTATGTTTTCTAGATCAGGATTTATCTAATCTGTGTTTCACATATCTAGAATTATATAATAGTAGCCTTTCATCTGTGAGTTCTCTCACATGGCATACTTTCCATGTTCATTTGTGTGGTTTCATTTTTTTTATGTCCATTTATTGTATAATTTACCATATTTTGTTTATTCATTCATCTAGTGATGAAATTGGAATTATTTTAACCTTTTAGCATATAGCTTTTCTCCTTCTGCTACCTGGTATATTTATTTAGCAAGATTTAGTCTTACACATTGGGCAGCACTTGCTCACTGCGTGTCATGTCAGGATCTCACTGTGTCATAGGCTTGGAACTATGTAGAGCAGTTTGCCTCAAATTTACAGAGATTCTCCTGCCCCTACTCTACTGAGTGCTGCGATTAAAGGTATACACCAACACACTCAGCAGCATACTGTGTTTTGTTGTTGTTATACTTGAAGAAGACTGACACTGTGTTTACATAGTAACTTTAGCAGACTGTAAATATGGATTAAATGTAAAGAAGTTTTTTTTTTTTAAAGAAGTTTTATATTAATTGTTGACAGGAGAAATGAACTGAAAATAGAGAAATTTAAACTGGTATTCACTAACTCACATTTCTTTCTCTATTTTTTTTTTCCCTTCCCCTATTTTTGGTTTTTTTCAAGACAGAGTTTCTCTGTGTAACAGAAGCATGGCTGTCCTGGAACTTCCTTTGTAGAAAAGGCTGGACTCAAAGTTCCAGAGATCCACCTGCCTCTGCCTGCCAAGTGCTGGGATTAAAGGCATATGCCACCATGCACAACTCTTAATTCATACTCTTGAGACAGATTAGGTCAGTCTTTAAACCTTTACTGAAACAGTGTATCTCAGTAAGTCTTTTGTTTTGCAAGTTACCTGGTCTCTGTTTTTATCATGTATGAAATAAATACTGGCATTTATCATGTAGAATTGTAGGGTTAAGTGAGGTATTGAGTAAGAGAACCAGCACTTGATAGTGTAGTAAACATGGCCTAGGGACTGATGAGTATTTTTAACTGCACCTGTTGTCCTTTTCATTCTTTGATGTGGTTATGATTATCCTTCTCAAGTAATTTCCTTGTGTATTACTAATTATCTTTTTTTTTTTATTACTAATTATCTTAAGAAAGGATAGATTCTTAATTTGGACTTGTGGTTTGTTTACTTAATATATTTAAGATTATGGCTTAATCAAACTCCTTTTTGTGTAGGGAGTCGTCGGATGGTGGATGTCATGGATGTGAACACACAGAAGGGGATTGAAATGACCATGGCACAATGGACACGATACTATGAGACTCCAGAGGAAGAGCGAGAAAAACTCTATAATGTTATCAGCCTAGAGTTTAGCCACACCAGGCTTGAGAATATGGTGCAGCGGCCTTCCACGGTTAGTCTTTATCATTTTCCCACATCCATCCACCCATCCATCCTTCTCTTCCTTCCTTCCTTACTTAAAACTTACTGATTTGTGTGTGTGTGTTTGTGTGTGTGTGTGTTTGTGTGTATGTGTGTGTCTGTGTGTGTGTGTGTCTGTGTGTGTGTATGTGTATATATGTGTGTGTGTGTGTCTCTGTGTGTGTGTGCTTCCCATCATGAACTCCAGTCTTACTTTCCATCTCCTCATATCTTCCCTTCATCCTTGCAACCTCCCTTCTAAAAAAAAACAAAATATGACGTAGAAAACATCTCATTGTGGAAGCTGTTGTATGTCACAGTGTGTTCATTGCAATAAGTCATTGGTCTGTTTCAAAATCTCTGGCTTCTGTGACACCATCAATATTGGATCTTCACCAGGACTTCTCCCAGCTATCTTGTTGTCTCCCTGTGTCGTAGAGTTGCTGCACTGTTAAATCAGCAGGACTGGCCCTTTCATGAATCCTATCTGTTAGCAGATGGTAAAGATTTTGGGCCATCTCAGAGTCCTGAATCTGGTCTTGGGTGGTAGCTGAGTTTGTCAGTGTGCAGGCTTTCTCTAGCACTGCTCCAGCTAGACCACCCAATGCTGTCGTTAGGAAGCTGGATCAGCTTTCCTGCTTTCATGCCCTTGGCCTGCTCTGTCCAGTCAGGGTGAGGAGCCCATTCTCCCAAATGCTACAGCCCATGAGAGACTGGATCAGCTCTCCCACTCATATCCTCAGGGCTGGCTCACCTGTGTCTTTGTCAGTGAGGAAGCAGGGCTAGTCCTTGATCTCAAGCCCTTGGATTCAAATCTCCCAACTACTGACTACTGCAGGTAACCACAGGCATTGGTGAAGTTCAGGGCCTGATCTCTGGAGCTGGCAAGGGACATAGCCAACTCTCTTTACTACTGTAGATGGTCAAGACAGGGAGCTACATTCTCATTTTCAATAGAAGGTCTTTATATTGGAAGAATTTTTATAGCTTTGTACATGCCAAGATTAAGCTAAATGTGGGAAAGAGTATTGGATAACAGTAACTTTTCATTTTTAGAAAAATTCATTTTCCAAAATCATTTAATTTTCATTGGAATCATTTTGATTCATATCACCAGGAACTTAGTTGGGAACTTGGTCTTTCAGTGATCAATAAGAATCTTAGAATGTTACTGGGAAACTGCCTTAAAGACTTTCTGTCCTATAGATTTATGCTTGCTAAGAAACTTAAGGGAATTAATTGGGTTAGGTTTGGGAACGTGTGCCTTGTTTGGTGGCATAAGTGTTCAGTCCTAGCACACAGAAGGCAAGTAGGAGAATCTCTTGAGTTTGGGGACAGCATGGTCTGCATAGCTAGTTCGAAGACAGTCTGAGCTGTATAAAGGAGACCCGTGCAAAAAATAAAGAACAAAAATTAAGGGAAATTTTGTTTAGAGCAAGTTGAATTTTGCACCTCCAATCTATCCACTTCGCTAGATGAGAATTTTATGTTACATGTTGTAGGATTTAGTAGGTAAATAGTAGTGATGAATGAGTTGGTCTCATTGGTTTTGATACCCTACTACCCTAAAGTTAACTTTCATTTTGTCTATCTTTTGGGTAAAGTACTGGCTGTCTGCTCTAGTGGGAAAGCTGTTCAGGAAGTGGAGTTGGCTTCACTTTAGACATGTACCTATATATTTTTGGGTCTCTTCTCCCTTAATTCCTGACCATGAACTCTAGCCAGGTGTGGTGATTCCAGCTACATGGACGTCTAAAGAAGATCTTAATTATGCCCTTTGCTTTCAAAAATTAATATGTGGTATTTGCTAGTAATATGTTTACTCTACATGGATAGAGTACAGCTAGTAATTTCCAGTATTATGACTATAGTTTATTGGTCTATATAGCAAAGAGAAAAGTAACTCAGTATTTTGCTAGTTTGATGAGTCAGTGTATATTTTGTTTTGCTTTTAGTTTTTTTAGGGTTTTGGAGGTTCTTTCTGTGTAGCTATGGCGTTTTTGGAACTCACTATGTTGATCAGGGTGGCCTCAAACTCAGATCTGCTTGCCTCTGTTTTTCAAGTGCTGGGATTAAAGATATGTGCCACTATGCCCAGCTTTTGTCATTGTGTATTATTGGACCAGATATTCAGCTAAAAGCAGAGATTCTCATGAAAATAGGCTTCTTTCCCACAAGAATGACAAGAATCTTTCCTATATTAGTTAGCATAAATACACCTACCCCAGGTGCTAAGATAATGGTTTATGCCACTAACCATTTTTAATAATTTCATTTTTAATAAAAAATTCAGTAAAAGGAAACATGAAGCCAAAGCATGGTGGTCCTTGTGTGTTATTCTCAGCATTTAGGAAGTAGAGACAAGAGGATTGCCTGTACTACAGAGTAAGCTTTGTTTCAAAAACATGAGAATTATAGTTGCATTTCTTATAAATGTATTCTGTAATAGTTCTATAATTGTAATTTAAAGATGATTACTTAAATATAGAGCTCCATTATTAAACATCTGGAACATTAGAACCATATATGAAGTCTACATTGTACTATTTTGAATATCCCTAGGTTTGGCTTTTTTAGGTTTTTTTGTTTGGTTGGTTTGGTTTTTTGGAGACAGGATGTCTCTGCGTAGCCTTGTCTGTCCTAGAACTAACTCTGTAGGTAGTCCAAGCTGGCCTCAAACTCAAGAGATCCACCTGCTTCTGCCGCCTCCCAAGTGCTGGGATTAAAGGTGAGCACCACCACTTAGTTTTTATTGTTACTGTTGTTTTGTTTTAATTATTTTATTTTCATGTGTATGGGTGTTTGGTCCAAATGTTTTGTGTTGTGGTTGTTGTGAGCTGCAATATGGGTGCTAGATATAGAACACCTAGTGCCCTTAATCATTATACAGTCTGTTGTGTTGTCTGTCTGTCCATCCTTCATTGTTCTCTCCCTCCCCTTTCTTTGACTTTTTTTTCTCTCTTTTTCTTTTTTTAGAATCATTATGTATACCTGACTGGCTGACTTGGAACTCAGATCCTCCTGCCTCTGCCTCCTGAGTGCTGGGATTAATGTGTGTACTAACATGCTGAGCCATTTCAAAGATTAGAGCTAATCACCAAACTGTCCTTTTGAACTCAGATTTTTGATAAATCAGGAACTCAGTAGTTTCTATGCCACATACTAAATTTCTTTTCTTTTTTTTTCTTTTTGATACACTTTTTTTTGAAACATAAGTGTGTTTGTATATGTACATTATGTAAGGGAATTGATTGTCTTTTTTTTTTATTTTGGTTTTGGTTTTTCGAGACAGGGTTTCTCTGTGTAGCCCTGGCTGTCCTGGAACTCACTCTGTAGACCAGGCTGGCTTCGAACTCAGAAATCCGCCTGCCTCTGCCTCCCAAGTGTTGGGATTAAAGGCGTGCGCCACCACGGGAATTGGTGGTCTTTTTCACTATGTGAGACATAGGGATCAAACTAAGTCAACTTTGTATCTTCAGAAACTACCTCTTAAAAATTTTACACATAAACACGTTTTCAACTCTACTATACCAGTATTGACAGAAGAAGGTTCCTAGTTGTAAATTGTCTTTAATGAATCCATTTTGACCAGAACTGGCTTTACAGTTATGTTACTGGAACCACTTCTCTTTTTTATCTATTTACAGAATGTTTGTCTTTTGACTCTAAGGCTCACATATTTTTAAATTTTATTTTGTGCAGTGTACATTTATAAAGGAGTTACTTTCTTGACCTTAACATTCTCTGTAACCCCACTGCTTTTCTTGGACGCTAAATGTCTCTCTCTCTTTCTCTCTTTTTTTTATAAAGGTGGATTTCATTGACTGGGTAGATAACATGTGGCCAAGGCACTTGAAAGAAAGTCAGACTGAATCAACAAATGCCATCTTAGAGATGCAGTACCCTAAGGTGCAAAAGTAAGTTCCTTGTTTTTGTGTACTTTCCTCAGTGTTCTGTGAGGTATAATATTGACAACAGTCCATCCCTTTTCTAGCTTTGCTGTTTTAAATCATCAAATTGATAAGGAAGAATATGTGAGTCATTACATAGCGCATGAATTCATAATAAAGGGAAAGACTGTATGATCCTGGAAATGTGACATAGAACTGGATTCCTTTAGCAAGATATGATGTTCCATGACTTGACGCAGAGTTTCAAGGCCATCTTGCTTTAAGTAGCAAATCCCAGGGCAGCCAGGAAACCTTGCCTCAAACCCTCCAAAAAGGAAAGAAAGAAAACGTACTAGAAGTTTATTAGATGCCAAAGGGTTCACTAGGGAAAAGAATGTCCTTTTAGTGGGTAGTTTCTCTTTATCAGTGTACTAATTAAAGCTGCTGCTTCTCTTTGGTTCAGGTACTGTCTAATGAGTGTTCGAGGCTGCTATACTGACTTCCATGTGGATTTTGGAGGTACTTCTGTTTGGTATCACATCCACCAAGGTGGAAAGGTATGGTCATAGTTAGGATTGGAATTAGAAATTATATGATTTGCATGCTTAATATAACCTGGAAACTTAGTAATATAATATTAGGAAACATCATTCATATCTGAAGAGAATTACAGATTCTGTTAACTTTTGTAGCTATTCCATTGGAGTTTTAGTATTTATGTAGGCCAGAGTCATTCTACCAATCTTTGGCCAGTTCTTAAAGCAGAAATTTTCCAGGTGAAGTTGAAGAGGTAATTTTAGGAGGACAATATCATTTTTGTATCTGTAAGAAAAGTAACATAGAGAAAGGGAACATAAGTTTTGGATCTATTAACCAAAAGTCCAGCAAATTAGGATTCAGCCAGCTCTCCCTGTCTGGAGATATTGTTCTGAAATGTGACCAAAGGAAATACTAAGTCTTTTTGAGGATTGGAAAAAGTACTGTCAATCATAAAAGAGTTATATTCTAATAATAATAAAATATATTTCATCTTCTCCTGAGTTTTTGTAAGTAGTATATCAGAATTGCAGTCTAGAATTAAAAGCAGAGGTTTATAGTGTTAGCCATTCCTCCACTTGGAGGAACTATATTTATTAGCAGAAACAGAGCTGGGATGAAAACAAGAACTTAACATAGAACAGCTGGACCTCTGTATCCAAAGTTCTTTTGTTTACTTGCATTTGTGTAGATGGGATCATAATTTTGTCCTATTGATCTTAGTTACTACATTGAGACAAAGCAGCCTAGACCAATATCTTAGAGTTGATTAATTATGTCTAAACAACTGGGCTGTTTAAGCCTCTAGCTAGTTATTAAGGAATTACCCACATAATAAGCCTCTTTCTCTTAGTGTTCAGGGTTCTTCTACTGCCACAATCCCAGGAAATCTAGATGCTGTCAGACCAAGTGATTGACAAGAAAGGTGTTAGTTTGTATCTGAACTACCTAGATAGTCAAGTCTTCTACCTTCCAATCCTCTTTGTGCCTGTTTATCAGTTGAGGGAGACGACTGGATCATGTCAATAGCTGTTAACAGACTGAAGTTTTTTAACTCACAGGTCTTCTGGCTCATCCCCCCTACAGCCCACAACCTGGAGCTGTACGAGAATTGGCTGCTATCAGGGAAACAGGGAGACATCTTTCTGGGTGACCGGGTGTCAGATTGCCAGCGAATTGAACTCAAGCAGGGCTATACCTTCGTTATTCCCTCAGGTAAGCAAAGTAGGGGAAAGTTGGTTGCTTTCTAGGCTTCTTAAAGAAAGCTGATTATGCACAAGGCTCTGAATTCAATGTCTGGCAAGGCATGCATGTGCATGAGTGTACAGTCAGTACCAGACAGACAATAGTGTTTTCCTGTTTTTATGGAGTGCACACAGAGAATATGTATTTAAAAACATAACAAGGGCTGGAGAGATGGCTCAGTGGTTAAAGCACTGACTGCTTTTCCAGAGGTCCTGGGTTCAATTTTCAACAACCACATGGTGGCTCACAACTATCTGTTACAGGATCCAATGGCCTCATCTGGTGTATCTGAAAACAGCTACACTATACTCATATAAATAAAATAAGTAAATCTTAAAAAAAGAAAAATAATAAAAGCAGTGCTTAATACTGGCACAGTGCTTCTCAAGTATATACTTTTAGACAATATATTAATCCCAGTAATTCAGAAGTTTTACATGTCTTCTCTAGTGAGGAGAGCCAACTTTCCCCACCTGAATGAGGAATGCTGAATCAGCAGTTTTGTTTTCTAGGCAGAGTTTCTCTGTGCAGCTCCAGCTATCCTGGAGCTTGTTGTGTAGAACAGACTGGCCTTTGCCCTGCCTCTTGTGTGCTGTGATTAAAGATGTACGCCACCAAGCATGACTAAATTGTGGATATTTTCATTGCATCTTAATTCTAAAATAAATGCTTATGAAAAGTATAAATTTTGGAGTCTCTATCTTTTTGAGAATTCTGGTATGCATTTTCCTGCTCAGTACTGCTTTGGTCAAATACTTAAATCTGTTTTTATTTGAAAAAACTACATAAGAATATTAATAAACTGTCTTGTATGGAGCTGGCACATAATTGGTACTTCAAAAAAATGGTAGCAGCATTTATTAAAAGTTTCTTGCACTGAGGAAATAACATGATGGTAGAGTACTTGCTTAGCATGCATAATACCCTGGGCTTTATCTCTAGCAGTTAAAAATTTAAACATCCACACATCTTTTACTGAGTGTGGGATCATACACTTATAGTCCTAGCTATTTGCATGTGTTTGAGACTAGCATGAGCAGCATTTTAAGACCCTGTCTTAAAAATAAAAAAAAAAAACTTGTTCCTTAGATATATATATATATATATATATATATATATATATATATATACTCATTTAAAGCTTACTAACATATAAAATACAATTTATTCTAATTTTAAAGAGAAAATTGAGGCTTTGAGAGATAAGTAACTTGACCAACCATTAAAGGACCCTGGGCTATGCATCAAGGACTTGCTTCTAAAAAAAGAGAAGAATGTAATCTAGAAGTCTTGCACTATTCTGAAGAAACTGTATTGCAGTATGTGCTTTCAATCCTGACTCTCTTCCCTGTCTTCCAGGTTGGATTCATGCTGTGTATACTCCTACAGACACATTAGTGTTTGGAGGCAATTTTTTGCATAGCTTCAACATCCCCATGCAATTAAAGATATACAGCATTGAAGATCGAACACGGGTGAGTAATGTAACAATTATATGTGAAGGTGTTTCCCCATTTAAGATAGATGTTAGGTGAACATGGTAACACGTGCCTCTCATCTTTGTAGCACTCAGGGACAGGAAGATTGTGAGTTTAAGGCCAGCCTGCCCTATGTAGCAAGATCAAAGAAAAAAACAGGCGTAATAAAGAGATTGATGGGACGAGATGGCTTAGCAGGTAAAGATATTGATGCTATTTGGTAGCAGAGTTCAAGCCCCAGGATGAACATGGTATAAGGATAGAACTGACACCTTATACCTTAGGTTACCTTCTAACCTTCATATACATGTACTGCTGTCTTCTACTCAGGGATTCGTGGATAATTTGTCACATTTTTACATTGTTTTTTTCATTAAAAAGTTTCCACGTATTGTGAACATAATAAAAAAAAAATTACTGGACCCTTGACACTTGTTTTGGGGGACTTTTAAGTCTGTGAAGCTGTTTTTCTTGGACATTTGTATAATCCTTTGAAACATGTTTTTTATTTTTACGCTCGTGAATAATTTGTGGAATGGGGATGATCACTTCCCATCACAACTTTGAGGTTTCCTGCCTTTATTTAGATTACCAGTCCTCCCTTTCTTCACTTTCCCATTGTAAAAACACAAATATCTTTTTCTTTCTTTCTTTCTTTTCTTTTTTTTTTTTTTTTTTTTTTTTTGGATTTTTCAAGACAGGGTTTCTCTGTGAGCCCGGGCTGTCCTGGCACTCACTCTGTAGACCAGGCTGGCCTCAAACTCAGAAATCCACCTGCCTCTGCCGCCCAAGTGCTGGGATTAAAGGCGTGCGCCACCACTGCCTGGCTTACAAACATCTTTTTAAAACTAAATTTTATTTATTTTGTGCATGTATTTTGGGTTGCTATGTCAAGTTAAAAGACAACTTGCCGAAGTCAGGTTCTCTATTTTCACCATGTCCCGGGAATGTGATTGAGGTCATCCAGCTTGACAGCATGCATTTTTTTTTTTTTTTTAAGCATAGAATAGAGTTTATTCAGGGCATGGGGAGGGGAGCCAGAAGGGTAGTGGGGGGGTGTGTGGAGGCCGGCTATGATCACATGGAGAGAGGGGGAAGGGAAGGGGAGAGGGGACGGGGGAAGCTACAGGCAAGAGATCAAGGGAACAAGAGCATCTTTAACCATTGGCAAAGGCCATCTTGTTGAGCCCTTCCCTCCCCATTATAAGTGTCAATATTAATTAGCTATCATCAAATTTATTGAGATTTTTAAAAATATAATTTATATTTGACCTGAACTCTTCAAGAACTTTCCCAAAAAGTATTAATATACTTCAAAGGCTAATGGAGAAACATCGTGTATTGTACTTAGTTTAAGGAGACCCAGTGCCTGTTATTTCTTAGCTCTCTACTATTGCCAGAAAGAAATTGCCTTTTAGATGAGAAAGAAGAAACTTCTGGTTACAGCCATAATCATATAAGAGATCCAGGTCTGGGTCTGGTCATATGCTTCATTGGTTGTATGCTTCTTGTCTAATGATAAAGTGATTTCTTCACTTCATAATGATACCCTGTGACCTGGTAAAAGGATTTGAAAAGGGATTCCTTTTCATTTTAAAATCACAAAGACAGCTGGACATCATAGGGGTGTGGATTTTGACCTTAATATGTAGCCTTTCTAAAAAGAGAATGGCGGGGTGGGCGCGGCAGGGAGAAGTGAAATTTTTTTAAGACAGGGTTTCTCTTGTGTATAACAGCCTTGGCTGTCAGTGGCTGGTACTGGTTCATGCCTTTAATCCTAAAGGCAGATGCAGGCAGCTCTCTTTGACTTTGAGGCTAGCTTGGTCTACAAAGAGAGCACTCCAGGACAGCCAAGGCTACATTACATGAAGCCTTGGCTGGAAAAAACTAAAACCAAAATAAACAAAAACAACCCTGCTTGGTTTTAAACTCACAGAGATCCACCTGCCTCTGGGACCCTGGTGATTAGATTAAAGGCATGGGCCACCATGCCTAGTTTAATTGTTTGGTTGGTTGGTTGGTTGGTTTTGGTTTTTTTGAGACAGGGTTTCTCTGTGTAGTCCTGGCTGTCCTGGAACTCACTCTATAGACCTCTTGAACTCAGAAACAAAGAACTCTTGAACTCAGAAATCTGCCTGCCTCTGCCTCCCAAGTGCCGGGACTAAAGGTGTGTGCCACCACCACCCGGCTTTAATTTTATTTTTCAAGACAGGGTTTCTCTATGTAATTCTGGATGTTCTGAAACTTACTATGTAGACTAGGCTGGCCTCAAACTCACAGAAATCTGTTTGTCCCTGCTTCTTGAGTGCTAGGGTTAAAGATATTAGCCAGAGGGTAGCAGATATATTTTAGAATGGCATCTGGCATCTATCTTCCTTGTTCATTGATTTATGATAATTTTAGTTTATTTTATCCTTGACAATGGTATATCCAAGGGGCATTCTTTATATTTCTGAAATAATTTTTAAGATGCCCTGAATTGGAAAGAATGCTCATGCTACAAAGATATTGACAGATAAAACCACACAGTTTAGTCTGATTGGTAGGTGTACTACAAAGCACAATCCAGGGGAACTCAAGGTAGATGCTGGACAAAGGCTCTGTCTTCTAAACAGCATGCAACTTGAGAATGAGTTTAAAATTATAATTTTATACATACAGGGATAGACTTACTATAAGTGTCTCTCTGTGTAGTCCAACCCTGCCTTGACCTTGCTTCTTGCCTTAGCCTCTTGAGTGCTGGGATTGCAGTTACAAACTCCATTCCTGTCTCTCAAAATTGAGAGATTGACAAGAGTTCTGGCCTCAGGTGCCAGGTTGAATTTATAAATTGACTAACAAGAATTATTCCTGGCTTAATTATTATAGTTATAGAGATTGTCTTTCATATTCCCTTCCCTTGAAAATTGTCATTGCCTTGTTTTCTCATTATTCTATTTCTGTGTAGGTTCCAAATAAATTCCGTTACCCATTTTACTATGAAATGTGCTGGTATGTGTTGGAGCGCTATGTATACTGCATAACCAATCGATCCCACCTAACTAAGGAATTTCAGAAAGAATCCCTTAGCATGGGTAAGTATCTTGATTCAATGAACTTTTAAGACACACTAGAGCTGACAATATACTGTAGTTCCAGTTTGGGCTGTTTTGTTTTGTTTTTGTACTTGTCTGTTTGAAAATTCCAAATTCGTTTATTGAGGTTGAACACTAAATACACAAACAGATATAAATTATGGGGCTGAATGAAATACTGTGATCTAATCTTTGATTAGGTTGCTATATTCATCTCCTCAAGATAAGTGATACATTGTTTTTGTTTTTTATTAACATATATATTGATTTCCTTATGATATATTCAAATGTCTTGTCTTTCATTGCTCTCAAGTCTTATCTCCCCTGCATACAGATCTCCTTTCTTCTTCCTACCTAGTCCCTGTCTACTTTGATTTTCTTTCCTTTTTTTTGGTTTTTCAAGACAGGGTTTCTCTGTGTAGTCCTGGCTGTCCTGGAACTCACTCTGTAGACCAGGCTGGCCTCGAACTCAGAAATCCGCCTGTCTCTGCCTCCCAAGTGCTGGGATTAAAGGCGTGCGCCACCACCGCCCGGCTACTTTGATTTTCTTAAAGGGAGGTTTTCTTCTTTTTCTTTTTTTAAAGAGAATTTAATTAATTTATTTTTATTTTATATGCATTGGTGCCTACATGCATGTCTATGTGAGGATGTTAGAAGATCCTCTGGAACTGAAGTTACAGACTGAGTTGAGTGTGTGTGTGTGTGTGTGTGTGTGTGTGTGTGTGTGTGTCACAAGTCATGTGGAAGAGCAGCTAGTTCTCTTAACTGTTGAGCTATCTCTATAATTCTTTTAGTGGGTTATCAACTAATAAATAGAGTTACCATAGAATCCTGTGTAAAGGATTATTATAGAAATATGGGCAACAAGTAGCTACAGCACTGAAGAAAATTTCTCTCCCTCTCCCTACAACCAGGAACTTCCAAAAGATCCAGGGAGGAGAGGGACTTAGGAGCAGTACTTGCCTAGCAGTACCTGACTGTCCATAGACTTATGTGAGGCTCAGGGCCTTATGATGCCCTCCTATCTATGATGGAAATTGATGGCCCAATTTTATTCGGTTTTTGTGTATCATAAACAATCAAAGCCACTTAAAATTCAAGATTCCTGTTTTATTCCTGGAATGTAGCATTGAATAGTACACCATCCCTTCCTGCAGCCACTATATTCTTTCTGTCTCTCTGGTTCTTGAGCCTTGGAAGAGGTGATATATAGATTCCCATTTAGGGTTGAACATTCAAGCCTTTGACCAGTTAAATATGTTTTATTATATACAAGTAGTCAAAATCTTCTGTTATGAAGTAGTTTATATAGTTTAAATTCTTATTAAATATAATACATGCATGTGTACTATAACCATATACCTTTCAGGTAGATATAATTAGCCTGATTTTACAAATGAGAAACCTTTTTTTATTTATTTTTATTTTTATTTATTTATTTATTTATTTATTTATTTATTTATTTATTTATTTTTTCCGAGACAGGGTTTCTCTGTGTAGCCCTGGCTGTCCTGGAACTCACTCTGTAGACCAGGCTAGCCTCGAACTCTCAAACTCAGAAATCCGCCTGCCTCTGCCTCCCAAGTGCTGGGATTAAAGGCGTGCGCCACCATCATCTACCTCAAGAAGCCTTTTTTTAAAGCTTTGTCTTTTTGTTTGTTTATTTTTCTGATCCTGGCACAAATGAGAGAGTCCTCAGAGTCCCCTACCCCTGCCTCTCAAATGCTGGGATTAAAGACATGTACCACCATCATCTGGCACAAATGAGAATTTGAACCTTCAAGATTTTTTTTTATTTTTCTATGATATTATAGTTAATAACTGATAAAGCAACACCTTAGACTAGTCTGATCAGACTCTAATCTCTTTGTTTTTCTAGTTTTGTGCCTTAACATTTGCCTGTTGTCAAAAGAAATGCTTAATTATATCAGTGGTAGTATCTTCTTTCTAAAATTTTTTTATTATGGGAATGTATGAATATATTTACCACATATGTGCTTGGTGTCTGCAGTGGTTAGAAGAGAGTATCAGATCCCATGGAACTAGAGTTCTAAATTGTTGTGAACCATCTGTGGGTACTAGGAATCGAACCTGGATCCTTCTTTGCAAGTGCAAGTGTTCTTAACCACTGAGCCATTTCTCCAACCTCGACATGGTAGTTTCATAGATATATTTATTTTTGTCTTTTGAGGCAGGATCTCACTCCACCTGGTCTGGAACTCACTATGTAGACCAGTCTAGCCTGGAACTCACTGAGATCCTCCTGCTCTCCTTGTCAGTACACTGGGAGTAAAGGTGTACACCACCTTACCCAATTCCTGCAGGGCTATTTCTGTTTGTAACTTTGATTTACAGAAACATTGGCCTTATCATTTATAACCTTGGACCGTACTGTGCTATTTCTCTTGTTGATAAACTATCCAACTAGCATTTATTTCCTTTGCATTTGTAGATATGGAATTAAATGAGTTGGAGTCTGGAAATGGTGATGAAGAAGGGGTGGATAGAGAAGCCCAACGCATGAACAGTAAGCGATCTGTGCTTACCAGCCCTGTTGCTAATGGAGTCAACCTGGATTATGATACACTTGGCAAAGCCTGCCGAAGTCTTCCAAGTCTGAAGAAAACTTTGTCTGGAGACTCATCTTCAGACTCTAGCCGGGGATCCCACAACGGCCAAGTTTGGGATCCCCAGCGTAGCCCTAGAAAGGATAGGCAAGTACATCTGACCCACTTTGAACTTGAAGGTCTACGATGTCTTGTAGATAAGTTAGAGTCACTGCCACTGCACAAGAAGTGTGTCCCTACAGGGATAGAAGATGAAGATGCTCTGATTGCTGATGTAAAGGTAAGCAGCCATTGACATGAGTAGGAAAGTCAAGTTTCTTGATTTGGAGGGAGAAAGTACAGGGATTATGGATATTTCAACTACAGGGAAGTTAATATGTACCTGTGTCAGCACTGCCCAGTGTTTGAATTTCTAGAGTGACATTAAGTCACCATTCTGAAAATAGGAACATGTGTATTTAGTGTTGACAAAAACTTGAAGCTTACCACTAAAAGTGGTGGGGGTGGGGGGAAACAGTTGAGATGGCTCAGTGAGCAGACCTGATGACCTGAGTATGATTCCTAGAGATGGAATAGCAGGTACATTCCCTTGCTACATCAGCACGAGGACCTTGATTTAGTTTCCAGGACCTGTATTTTTAAGCTGAAAAAAAAGAACAACAACAAAAAAAAACGAAACAAACAAAAACAAATAAGGCAAAACTTAATGCAATGTTGTCCATCTGTAACCCTAACATTCCTACCATGAGATAGGAGGTAGGAAACTGGCCAGAAGCTGATTCTGTCCTCCCCAACCATATTCTCTGTGGTTCCCTTCCTACCCCAAATAGTCTCCCTTTCTGTCTTCATATCACATATATTTCTTTACCCTGTGTTCTTTCCTCTTCTCTTTTTCTTTCCTCTTACAGTTTCTTTTCTATCCCATTCTCCCTCCCCTACACAAATATAGATTCTACATAATATCCTGCAGTTCGATCCATTGTCTTGAAATCCCATGGTTTTATTTTTCAAAAACTTTATTATTGTATAGTTATGTGCCACATCTTAATTATCCATTTATATGTTAATAGGCTCCTTAGCTGGTTACATTTCTTAGCTATTAAGAATAGTCCAACAATAAAAATGTCTATCCAAATATATGTGCTATGGTGAATTGGAATCTTTCAGGTATATACCCAGTATTGTAGGTGGATTATGTAGTAACTCATCTTTTAGTTTTTTGAGGAACTGTCATTCTGACTTTGATAATTCCTGTACCAAATTGCATTTCCACCAGAAATGTATAAAAATTCCTTTTTACACAGGTTCTCACTAGCATTATCACTGGATTTTTTTTTCCCTTTATTATCATTATTATCATTGGACAGAGACATGTGTTGCAGTGAGATGGAGATTGAACTCAGGTCCTTAGATTTGCGTGGCAAACTCTTTACTACAACCAGCTCTAGTCATTGGTCGTCTTTGTAATTATTTGAACCAGAGTGAGATGAAATCTCACAGCAGCTTTAGTTTACTTGGTATTGATGACTAAATACACCTTTTCAGATAGTCATTGAACATTTGTATTTCTTTTGTTTTGTTTTGTATTTTGAGATTGGGTTTCTCTATATAGTCCTTGCTGTCCTAGAACTCACTCTGTAGACCAAAGCAGCCTCAAACTCAGAGATCCATCTGCCTCACAAGCACTGGGATTAAAGGCATGAGACCCATCACCACCTGGCTGGCTTTGTTTCATTTTTTAAATAAATGATAATGTGTGTATTTGTGTGTGGGTATGTGCATATGAGTACAAGTGCTTAAAGAGGCCAGAGGTATCAGATTCTCTTGAAGCTGAAGTTTTTGTATTTTGAGTTGCCTGATACAGATGCTGGGAAATGAATTCCTCTGGAGAGTGATACATGCTCTCAACCACTGAGTTATCTCTGTGGACCGGGTCTTTCTATGTTACCTTGGCTGTCTTGGACTTCCCTATGTAGACCTGGTCGGCCTTAAACTCACAGATATTTTCCTGCTTCTGTCTCTTTAGTTGTTGGGGTTAAAGGTGTATGCTACCATACCCGGCTTACAAATTTGAAGTGTGTTATGTTGTATTTTAGCCGGGTGGAGGTGATGATGACTCAACACCTTTACAGGCCAGACTGATCACAGGACAGCTAAGGCTACACAGAGATACCGTGTCTCAAAATGAAATAAAATAAAATGTTATTTACATGTATGTGCCTGTTAAGGCCAGAGGAAAGTATTAAATTCCTGGAACTGGAGTTACAGGTATTTCTGAGCCAGTCCAGTTGGCTGAACAACAAATCTGCTGTCCTCTGAAGGAGCCACAGGAGCTTCAAACCACTGAGCCATCTCTCTAGACCCCAGGCCCTTCCTTGTTGTTCAGGGATATGTTTGGTTTTGAGACTGGATCTCTCTACAAAGCTCTAGCTATCCTGGAACTGACTATGTAGACCAAACTGGCCTCAAACTCACAGATAGCTTTCTACCTCTTCCTCCTGTGTTCTGGGATTAAAGGTATCTGCTAGTAAACTCAGCTTCCATTTTAAAAAAAAAAAAAAAGAAACAAACAACATACTGTTTTAGTGTGGAATCACTTCTTTCTTTTTATGACATGGGTTCCAGGGATCAAACTTAGGTCTCCAGACTTGGCAGCAGGTGCTCTTTCCCCACTGAATGGTCTCACTAGCCCTCATCCATGTTTTCTGCTATCAATTTTGATGTTACAGATCTTTGACCCATTTTGAATTGATTTTTGTCTTGAGTAAAAGAATCTGATCTTTTACATGTATAGTCTAAGCTAGTTTTCCAAACATCACTTGGTGGAACTGTCTTTTTTCAATGTATATTTTAATACTTTTGTCAGAAATTAGGTGTCTGTACTTGTATCTACAACAACCTCTTTTTTTGCAGCTATTCCATCACAAGTTCCTGTGGGAAACAATAAATGTTGACTTTTGAGACTTGTTTAACTCGAATAATTATCTTTAGAAAATCTATACAAGAAACAATTCCTAAGATCATCTTACAACATTCTTTTGGTCTATGTGTTTCTAGTTCATAAAAATTAATGTCTTTTTCAGTTCTAAGTATATCTAAGTATGTCTGTGGATCTAATTTTAACTAAATCCAGTTGTAAATGCCCTATTATACTATAATATTTTATTGTTCAAGGTCAAGATTTCTGCTAGAAATACAAAAACTTGCTTAAGTAAGCAATTTAATGTAGCTTAAATAAAGAAAAATTGTTTGGTTTTTAGGCAATCTTGCTGGGGAACCCAGACTGACCTCAAATTAGGAATCTTCCTACTTAAGTCTCCCAAGTACTAGGATCAGAAGTGTGTACCAGCTGCCATGCTTGGCCTCTATATGGAGATTAAACGAAAAAGTAGTCCAAGAGATTACCAGGAGAGAATGTAGAAAAGAAAGAAAAGGAAGCAACAGTAAGGCAGGTGGATGAGTTAAGGGGGAGGCTTCCAAAGGACTTCAACCGTATGAAAATTGCACAGAACTTCTATTTATCAAGAATTACTAGGAAGTATAACTGTCAACACTGGCTAAGACATTGTGGCACAGGTTGGAACATGAGGAGCCTAGTGGCCAGTGACTGAATAGACAACAGTGTTTAGATTCTTGTTTCAGAACTTCATCCATACCTTCTCTTGTTTACCTCATATGAGATGTCAAAATGTAGCCTCTGTAGGGCTGGACATGTTGCTCACCTGTAATAACATCTACTCAAAAGGTAGATAGAGGCAGAAGGATCAGTTGAGCCTAGGAGTTCCAGATCATCCTGGTCAACAAAATAGGATCCCTTTCAAAAATAAAAATAAAATACTTGAATCTAGTTTTAGAGAACAGCTATATTCCATCAGTTCCATGTAATGAGAGTTTTACAAAGTTCAGAGCTTAAATTTAAGAATCTGAGCATCAACAAGAACAACAACAAAAAAGTATTGACCCTGGTCAGTTTCTTTGAGTTTAAGAACAGCCTGGCAGAGTTTTAGTCTAACCCCCCCCCTTTCTTAAGGCATTGTAAGGGGCTAGATGGGTGACCCAGCAGTTAAAAGCACTTGCCACTTTGCCACTCTTTCAAGAGGATCCAAGTTTGGTAATCAACATCCATGGTGATTGGCTCACTCTTGCTCATGCTAACACTGGCTCTAGCAGTTTGGTGCCCTCTTCTGGCCTAAACTCTATACTACTCATGCACATGCCCCTATACACATAATTAAAAATAAAGTGCCCCCACCCTTCACCCTTCTCTTTTTAAGGCAAGGTGATAGCTCCTGCCTATAAATACCAAGCACTCAGAAATCTGGAACAAGGTCAAGTTTGAGACCAGTCTGGGCTGGAGTGAGACCTTGTCTCAAACAACACCACTAACAAAATTAGAACAATTAGGTTGGTAGGTGTCAAATCACTACACAGATGGGAACTCTGAACACTGAAGAACTTAGCACTTATGTGCTGCTGGCTAAGTTGCAGTTGGGGGACAAAAGAAAGGAAGTTACTCTTTTATACAGAAGGGAATTATATATTGTTACAGTCTATCTGCTTCTCAGAAATAGTGAATAGGACAGATGAAAGAAAAAAATGATGAGATGACATAGCCGTAACTACATATTTCCTTAAAGAAAAGTCCATTTTAGTGCTGTGATAAAGAACTTTCAACATTTTAAAATGTTAAGTTTTACAGTGTTGAAGAATCAGAGTATAAAATTAGAATGAGATTAAGTAAAAATAGAGCATTTAAAGAGTACGAGTTTATTGATAAAGTGAATCAGCATGGATAATACTGGAAACATTTGAGTAACCTTGACTGTTTAAGAAAATGTAATAAGCCGGGCAGTGGTGGCGCACACCTTTAATCTCAGCACTTGGGAGGCAGAGGCAGGTGGATTTCTGAGTTCGAGGCCAGCCTGGTCTACAGAGTGAGTTCCAGGACAGCCAGGGCTACACAGAGAAACCCTGTCTCCAAAAAAAAAAAAAAAAAAAAAAAGAGAGAGAAAAACAAGAAAGGAAGGAAGGAAGGAAAATGTAATAAATGTAATAAAGATAAAGTAGTATTTCTACTATAAGATATTCTTAGTTTCTCAAGTAGAAGAGTTGCAACTTAATATATGTTGAATAAAAAGGCAGAAGGTGAAACTGTATAATATAGCTCCATTCATAGCAGTAGCTCATTGCAAAGAGTTCTTGAAAGTATATTCTAAGCTGCTGTGGACAGGATACTATAAAGGTGATGAGAGTCAACTGGAAAGAATTTAATTGGACTTT